GCCATGACAGCAGATTTTTATAAATTGGTCTCCAGTTGAAGGTTAACTCATGTGTAATCTATCCTATCTCTTGAACCAAAATCAGAGGACTCCTGTCTTTCATTACCTCTGTCTCTTTCATAGACACAAATGAGGTGACACCCTCATTCCACACCAAGCTTGGATAATGTGATCAGAGGCTCATGCTCTCTGTCCTCGGCCCATATTATCACCTGATGTCCTACCCTATGAAAAATCTGGGTGATACTGGCATTAAGGTAAAGTAGAAAGCATTTGGGGTCAGAGCTGCATCTAGTTTGAATTCACAATTTATTTTTGGTCATTTAATGATTATGCCTTATCTTAAAGTGACATGACCAAACTAAAATAGAGGTACCATTTGTCTGTAGAATAGAGACACTGAAGTGAATCCTGGACTTAAATAAGGCTATATTAATTCTCATAAGCAAAGAATCCCCAGGTCCTGCAAATATGAGATGGATATTAGAACATGTAGAGACAAGGCCAGAATGCCAATGTTCCAGGTACCTGGACTTGGTTCAGAAGAGTTCCTGGTGTTTTAAATTCCCTTTTCTCTGTAACCACAGAGGAACATTCCCACTAACAGGACCACCTCATCTGTAAGCCAAAATCTTAATGCCAGTCTCTCTGGAGTAGCTTTCACAAGGCACTTCCAGTATTCGTGCTGCTTGTACCACTCCCCATCCTAAGGTATTTACATAGCAGGCTAACCATACACCTAGGGAGCACCTCAGAGGTTTTGCTACCCCCTGTTAGATAGCTTTTCACCCTCTTGCCCTGCCTCCAGGAAGATGTTCAAAGATGTCTAGATTATCTTCATTGGGAGCACTCCAAAATGCAACCAGTGGTTTCAGTATCCTTTCTTTCTCCTTCAGGGTTGATGGCTACTGTGTTTCCCATGTCACTGTAAACTTTTCCCATAAGGTCAAGAGAACAAGGTCATAGTCAGTAACTAACAATGAACTGGTCATTCATGAGGTATTTGTGATGGACAACATCAGGACTGGTCCCATCTGGGAACCAGAATAAAGATTCTAGACCTCGAGCCAAGAAACTAGTGAACTTCTGCCTCTCGTTTTCTATTCCATAATTTATATCCTATTACAGCGGTACCTCCTGTGTCAGCCCTTCAGACTGTCTCCTACCCAACCAGGAATAAGTGATACAGGCCATCCTAGGATGCCAAGCACAGGAGGCTATTTAAAGTGGGAGGTGTGTCACTTCCAGCGAGAGGACTGCTGGAGACTCATGAACCAATTCAATCAAGCTTTTAGTCTACAAAGGTACAGAGTGGCATTTTTGTCAGAAACACCGTTTAGGCCTCAGGTAGCAAGTTGTGAGGAAGAAAAGATGTTTTGGCACATTCTATCTTAAATCTAGGTTATACATTCTCAACCATGGTGTCATCCCCAAGGGGGTAAAAATTGGTTCTTAGGGAGCAAAAAGCCTTCATCTTTTTATATGTAGAGCATAGATTATATACAGTTCATTACCAAATATGCAGTATATATATAATGTCTAAATCATATTGGAGGAGAATTAGAGAAAGTAGTAACAGTTCCTTAGGAAATGATAGCAATAAAAAAGGTAAACTCTGATTTTTATTATACTGACTTTTAAAAGGATAATAGTATTTTTGAGTCAATTTTCATGTAATATAAAATTCACCCTTTTAAAGTGCACAGATCAATGGTTTTTAGTATTGTCACATAGTTGTTCATTTCTCAACACTAGCTAATTTTAAAACATTGTTTTCATCCCAGTAGGAAACCCTGAACTCATTAGTAGCTATTCTTCATTCCTGTTCCCCACCAGCCTCAGTCAACTATTGATCTATATTCTGTCTCTATATTTTCCTATTTCTGACATTTCATATGAGGGAGTCATACAATATGCTGTCCTTTGTGACTAGATTTTTTTCACTTAGCATAATGTTTTCAAGGTTTTCGTAGTGTAGCATGTATCAGCACTTTATCCTTTTTATTGCTGTGTAGTACTTCACTGTATGGATATACTACATGTTTATTTCTCAATGGATGGATATTGAGTTGTTTCAGCTGAAAAGATTGTAAGGCTGGCCTATTGGTGATGAATTTCTTCAGCTTTTTCTTGTCTGGAAAACTCTCCTTCAATTCTGAAGACCAACTTTGAAGGACAGAGTATTCTAGGGTGGCAGTTTTTTTCCTTTTAGCATTTAATGTATTGTGCCTCTCCCTTCTGGCTACAAATTTTCTGCTGAAAAGTCTATTAATTGTCTTATGCAGGTTCCCTTGTACATAACAGTTGTTTTCCTCTTTCTTTTTGCTTTTAAGTTTCTCTCCTTGTCTTTAACTTTTGAGAATGTGTTAATTATGATGTGTCTTGATATGGGTCTCTTTGGATTAAACTTGTTCTGAACAGTCTGAGCTCCCTGGCTCTGGATGTCTGTGTTCCTCCCCAGGTTAAGGAAGTTTTCAGCCACTATTTCTTCAAATAAGTTTCATCTCTCCTTTTCTCTTTCCTTCTGGGAACCCTAAAATCAAATATTGGTCATCTTGATGTTGTCCATAGTCCCGTAAGCTTTCTTTACTCCTTTTCTTTTTGATGCTCTGATGGATGCATTCCATTGCCTTTTCTTTGAGTTTGCTATCCTTTCTTCTGCTTCATCTGGTCTTCTGTTGAACCCCTTTATTGTATTATTCTGATCAATTACTGTATTTTTCACCTCTGATTTTTATTTGGTACTTTCTTATATTTTCTGTCTCTTTGTTGAAATTCTCACTTTGTCCATGCATTGTGCTCCTGGTGGGTATCGTCATGACTGTAATTTTGAACTGTGTATCTCATTAAAGTCTTTTTCTGGGGTTTAATCTTACTCTTTAGCATGGAACATATTCATTTGTTTCTTCATTTTCCTTGACTCTTTTTTTCTCTGCATTAGACAAAACAGCCACCTCTCTGTCTTGCAGGACTACTTTGCTGTAGGAGATAAACCTTATTGTTTAACCCTGCCCTAGATATCTCCATGTTTTTTGATTGTCCAAGAAGCTTTCTTTGTTCTTAGTGGATCACAGTGTTCAGTATGTGTCACAACCTGTCAGTTCCTGAAAGGGAGGATCTCAGTCTGCATCTGGATGCAGGCTGATTGGAAGCCAGATGCTCAGGCAGCAGCTTTTAAAGTATGTAAATATACCTCTTGCAGGGGATGACTGGGAGATGGGTGTTTCTCTGTTTTTTCTGCGTTTATCCCTGAGGGGATAAGCCCTCTGGAGTGAGGAAGAGGGACAGCACAGAGAGCGCCCACTGGCCTCCATGGTCTTTGATGAGTATTTCTGTTGGCCCTGGATGTGTGTTTAAATAGAAATCATCCCCTTAGACTGAAGCTTTTAGGATAAGCAAATGGGCCTCTTTCATGGAAAGACTGGGGACATTTCAGTCTGCTCTCCTCTGTGCCAGAGCCCTGGGGGGTTATCCACCTGTAAATTATCTGACCCCTTTAAGAACTGCTTCTCAGTTCACGATAGCCTGAGGGGGTTGGCTTTCAAAGCTAGGTTGCTTGGGGGCCCATCTTTCAGGTACAAAGCTTAAAATCTGAATGCCAGATGTGGGGTTCACACCCTTCTGTCCTCAGGGGGAAGCTAGAAGTGGTGACCTCCTTCCAAATTAGGGGTCACTGCACTGGGGCTGGGGTTTATGGTGAGACTGTTTCTCAGCCTCTCCTACCTGTTTCAATGTGAGTTCTCCTTGTTCAATCGATGTGTAGGAGTCACTTGGTTTCTGGATTTCTTTCGGAGGAATTGTTCCCATGCAGCTGTAGATTCAGTGTGCCCACGGGGGTAGGTAAGTTCGGGATCTGCTGTATTTGCCATCTTGAACCAGAGCTTAGTTCTTGTTTTATTTTAAATCTGGCTTCCTAATGATCACTCTTGGTCAGTATAATTTAGACATCATCCAACAACCAATAAGAAGCTTTTCTTAAATGCTGTACCTGTATGTTCTTCACCATTGAACAGGGACATCCATGGGATAAGCATGTCTTTAGTTTTTTCCTTCCTCCTTGCACAGGGTCTCAAGGTCAGCCAGAGGTGAGAAATTTCTCCTTTACCATGCACCATATATCATTCAGATCTTGACGTTTACTGTGTCTCCTGTGACTCTCTAGTTTTCCGGAATTTCCTCTGGAATTCTTGGCCAGGCTCTTATTTTCAGCAACTGAGATCCGTCTTAGGCAGGTGTGATATTGCCAGCAGATTAATTGATTTTGGTAATGCCCTAGGATTAGAGGATTCCCCCCTCCGCCTGCGAGATGAAATTAAATAGACGTGATACCTTGGGCATAGAGATTTCTCAGTGAGCTTCAAGTTGGGACAGTATCTTGGCCATGGTCTGTATTTAGAGCAACTACGATAGCAATTCATTGTCTCCATTAACCTTGAGGCCATTGGATTTTATAGTTACTGCACCACTGACGTGGTTAGAGAGGGGAATGTAAAATACCAAATTCAAACTTTTTTTAAAGATAAAAAAATTTTAAATCCCACCATTTTACCAAGGTTCACTACTTTCTCTAGGATAGGTGATTTGCAGTGCACTCTGATTCTAGTTAATTTCCAGAGTTCTGAAATGGTTTAGTTGTTTTGCCAGTCATTTTCATGCTTTTTGTGGCAGTGTTCACTAAGGTCCTTACTCCCTCGTCCTGGCAGTCAGTCTTCATGTAGCCCTTTGTTCTCTGCTCCAGCACAACTTGTGGGGACATGGGACCTAAGGCAAGTAGGATGGGTGAGCTACAGAGAGGCCCATGTGTCCACAAGTAGCTGCAGCAAAGAGGAGCCGATCCACGTGGCTGAAAATTCATCCTATCTTCTGTACCATGAGAGCTGTGTAATCAGAAGAATCTGAAAAACCCTGGACACAGTAAGTGTCTCAACTGATAATACTGATTATCAATATTATTTTAGCCTGAGTAATGAAAGAAGGCACGAAGTAGATGATTTACTTACTTCTGTAGCAGGTTCTTCTGGAATTCTAGGCAGTATCCCCTTTGCCTGTCAATAACAGCACTTGTAACTGTGGTTAAAAAAAAAAAAAACAGATCATGCTTGACTCTAGTTTCCTGATTTAAGTGCCTCCCAGACCTGTCAGCTTTTCTTTCCTTGGAGCTCTGGAGTGTCCCTCGGCCCAAATGGAAATGGAAGATGAATCCACAAAGGGTTACCCTTACCAGTGGATGATGAGTCAGTGTCCAGAGGGTCCACGGTGAGGGAGCTTTGGAAAGTGGAACCTGTAGAGTCCTCTCAGAGAGTGCAAGTGACTGAGGATAGCTGGCCAGGAACTCGTGAGCGTGGCCCCCTGTGAGGGCAGTCGGTAGGAGAGGCGGTGAGAGTCAAGCTTAGGCTTGGACGGGGAAAGGTGGACAGGAACACAGTGGTAGGGGTAGGTAACCAGTCTGGTGGTGCCCCATACACTGTTACACGGTACTTCATTTTCTAAGTTTCTACCCATTAAGCGGACATTAGAAGACATATTTACGCTTTCAGAGGAAAGAGTAAACCTTGGCAAAGAATCTAGTGGACCTGGGGGAGAATCGTGCAAGTTCACTGAGAGAACTATGTTCATTTCAGGGAGTTTGCACAGCTGCCTTTACATTCTGAGTAACAGATGTTTAATTGTGCCACCTGAAAGCTAAGGTTTTGCTGTGACAAATAACTGAACACTACTGAAAACGTACCTTTCAACTCTAAACAGGTTACAGATCTGCCATTTTGCGAAACACTGCATCATTTGTATGTAGAGATTAAGCTGATATATGGGGTTATTTCCTTTCCAGTGATGTTTCACACAAGAGGAATCTTGTTATTCCTGAATGCAAATGGAAAGTTAAGGCGGCAGTTAGAGAACAGAAACAGATAAGTAAATACAGACCTACTCCATCTCTTCTCAAGAGGGGGAAAAAAAAAAACAAACCAAGATGCACTTTATCTTAAATGGCTGTTACAGGATGCACTGAGCAACTTTTAACTACAGTGATTAACCTATGGCTGATAGGATACTCATTACACTGTGATTAATTGGAATGAGCTTGCCTGGCACTCTTGAAGCTTTTGCTCCTTCAAAAGAAGATTGGTTAGTGGGTCATAATTCCCTTAACACTGAAGTCTCCCAAGGAGACTGAGCTCTGGTTGCCCACACAGCTACCCTTCTTTGTCTCTCTCTTCATCCTTGTCTTATATTCCCTGCTCCTCCCCTTCAGATCTTGAGATTATTTTCCAAAATACTGACCTGCATCCAAGTCCTTGTCTCAGGATCACTTTTCAATGACAGCCAAATTAGCTCATCTCGATTTCATTCATAATGCCTGTAACTTTTCTGGCTCCGTGAACAATTTCCTGTGAGGCATTAAAATTAAACCAGGCCTTGTTTAATCTGTGACTATTCTGTGTTGCTCTTTCTCTTACTCCCAACTTTCTGGCTACTCTGCCAATCTTTATTTTTGGCAACTTAGTTTCATATTACAAGTTCAAGCCAAAATTTACTGCTGGGCCACAGATAAGCTTCTCAACAGAAGTTTTATGAGGAATAAAGAGAAATAGTCAATTGGAAGATAATCTTGCTTTCAAGTGAACTTGTTTTTATAGACTAGGAGAACCCTAACAAGCCACTAGGGACTAGCAATTCAGTCGCTGGTTGCTTCACATCATCACCAATTTTTTTATCTACTCTACTTTTATGGTGTTTTCTAATCTTTGACCTTGGCCCATCACCTCTTTGCCATCTGGAATTTTACAGCCAGAGCTGTTGAATTCTTGCATGGACCAACATCTGTTTTTCATTTTCCCAACAAATAACTAAGTTGAACAGAATTCTCTTGGATAAGGCTCAGTATGCTGGAAAACTAAGGAATTACCCCAGTGAAGTCTGTTGCCACCCAAGAGTTTACAGTTTCTTAACTGGGATGCCAATTCATCTTCATTCCCTAGTCTTTGATGCGCAGTAGGTATTGGTTCACATTTCTACCACATACATGGACCTCCCCAATTTAGACATTATTTCCAAATGGTTTTACACCATTGCAGTATACTCATAAGTAGAGAGAAGATATAGAGCTTAAGATAACTTCAAACTTGTTTCTAAAATGGATCACACTTTCATTAAAAACATCTTTAACATATATTCTATAACCCGTGTAATTAAATTTAACTGTATGCATGTTAATTTCTTGACAGTGAGTACTTAAATTATTTTTCAGTACTATTGAGATATAATCAACATATAACACTGTATACGTTTAAGGTTTACAGAATGACTTGATTTACATATATTGATAGATTACCACAATAAATTTACTTAACATCCATTATCTCATGTAGTCTAAAAAGAAAAACTTTTTCCTTATGTTGAGAACTTTAGGATCTACTCTCTTAGCAACTTTCCAATAGACCATACAGCCGTGTCAACTATAGTCATGATGTTGTACGTTATACCCCTAGTACTTACTTGAAGTTTGTACCTTGTGACCACATTTGTCCAGTTCCCTCACCTCCAACCCCCAACCTCTGGTAACCACAGATCTTACCGCTTATTTTAAAAAGTTTGTTCCACCTATGAGTGAAATCAGATAGTCTTTGTCACTCTGTCTGACTGATTTTTGTATGTTAATTTTGTATCCTGCAACTTTATTGAATTCAGTTATTAGATCTAACAGTTTTGGGGTAGAGTCTTTAGGATTTTCTAATACATAATCTTGTCATCTGCAATTAGAGACAATTTTACTTTTTCCTTTCCAATTTGATGACATGGATTTCTTTTTCCTGTTGATAGTACTGAAAGTCCTGGCCAGGAACAATGTTGAAAAGGAGTGGTTAGAGTGGGCACTGTTGTCTTGTTTCTGATCTTAGAGGAAAAACTTTCAACCTTTTACCATTGAGGGTGATGTTAGTTGTGGACTCATAAATAACCCTTATTATATTGAGGCATATTCATTCTGTACCTAATTTAAGGCCTTTTATTAGGAACAATGTTGAATTTTGTAAAATGCCTTTTCTATATGTACTGAGATGATCATATGATTTTTCCTTCATTCTATTAATGTGATGTATCACATTCACATGGAGTGATTTACATATGTTGAGCAACTCTTGAATCCCAGGATCGATCCCATTTAAACACAATAATGATCCTTTTAGCGTGCTGAATTTGGTTTACCAGTATTTTATCAAGAATTTTTTTCATCTATATTCATCAGGGATATTGGCCTGTAGATTTTTTTTTCTTTTCTTTTTCTGTAGTGTCTGATTTCAGTATCAGGGTCATGTTGGCATCGTAAAATGAGTTTGGGTGTATTCCCTCCCTCTTTGATTTTCTAGAAGAGTTTTTGTAAGGGTTTGAGAAGGATTAGTGTTAACTCTTCTTTAAGTATTTGGTAGAATTCACCAGTGAAGCCAGCTGGCCCTGCACTTTTCTTTGAGTTAGTATCACGAGTCTCCAGTCACCTCACCAATATTTGGTCGCATCAGATTTTCTCTGTCTTCCTGATTCAGTCTTGGCAGGTTGTGTGTTTCTAATAATTTTTCCATTTCTTCTAGGTTGTCCAGTTAGTTGGTGTTTACTTGTTTATAGTAGCCTCTGATGATTCTTTGTATTTCTTTGGTAACAGTTATAATGTCTCCTCTTTGGTTTATAACTTTTTTGATTTGGGTCTATTTCAGTCTTCCTCTTTTTATGTTTTCTAGGTTTATACCATTGTGGTCAGAGGAATTACTTAACACAATTTCAGTATTCTTGAATTTGGGTAAGACTTGTTTGTGTCTTATCGTAAGAGTATCCTAGAAAGTGCTCCATGTGTGACTGAGAAAAATGTATATTCTGCTGTTTTCAGATAGAATGTTCTCTATGTGTCTGTTAGGTTTATTTGATAATGTTCAGACTGCTGTTTCTTTAGTGATTGGATGATCCATTCACTGTTGTATTGCTGTTCGTTTCTCCTTTTAGCTCTG